TATTTTTGGAGTGGAACATAGCTCTGCTCATCTGTAAATCCTAGCACAAATTTCATTGCTGAACTGTGGCTTGATTCAAGAAGCAAGAAATCCTAGCTTCATACATGCTAAAACACATTTGGGAATATCTTTTCATTAGCCTATGGCCAAAACAATCCCCTACTCCTTAGTTTAATATCAAACACAAAACAGGTAACTATGCCTTCACGTGGCATGTGAATCCGGGCACCAATTCACTCTTGCAGATGAGAAAGGTCCCTGAGGTGACTAATTGTTGGCTTGCTTTCTTTCTTAGCTGCTCCTGCATTGCAGTTCTGTGACCTGGTCAAAGGCAGGGTCAGAGTTTGCGTATCATATTAAACCTATTGGCAGAAGTTATTTCATATAATGCTTTACTATCCCAAACATATAATGGATAACTCATATTCTTTACACCACGTGGCTTAGCACAGTTGGTAAGTCTAGCTTTTTTCAGTGCAAAGTACACAACTATTTCAATATTCTCTAGTCCTACTAAAGTCTTGTGATTTTATTTATATGAGGTAGGATGACCAAACTATAGCTTAAGGATCACCAGTGGCTCTTAGACAATTCATGCACAATTTCTGAGCTATGAAGCACCCAAACCGTTTTGCAGACTTTTCATTCCTGAAAGATGCTAACAGATTACAACCTCAGAGGACAATGGGGAAGTATGTAACAGGCAGGAGAGAAAAGCAGAAGTTGCTTTGTAGCTGTAATCTACTTGAAAAGGAGATAGGAGATAGCTACTGAAGAGTGGGAGGAGGTTTAAATGACATGGAGAGGGAAACAACACAGACCCAAAGGAGTAATCACAAGACAATGGAAGAAGACAGAAAATAAGTTAACAATGCCTGGAAAAGAGCAATAGTCATTTAATGCTGTATTTTTCAGGGAATCATTGTTTTGTCAGGCTACCAAGAATTAGGCTTTTCCATAACTTGGGGGGTTTCTTATATTAAGAAGAAGAAGAAAGAAGTGGAGGAGTAGGAGGAAGAGGAGGAAGAAGAAGAGAAGAAGGAGTAGGAGCAGGAGCAAGCTCTGAGCTACAAAACAAAGAGTTCAAACATTTGCATAAGATAGTATTACACTTAGGTATTGAATTAGATATTTCTATCAAGTCTGTTACCTCCTACTACAACGGGAATGAAGATAATTAAGCAATTTAATCATAAGGAAAACATAAACACTTATGGTATTTCAAGTCAGATAGACCTTGGCTTTGTGGTAATATAACTTGCAGGATCTGAATTGTGTTGTGCCCCAAGTTTTTTCCTCATTAATGCTTGGAGCAAAATTATGTCTTCCATGACTACAATCCAAAGATTGTACAGGCAAAAGTTCCATTAAGATGTCTATGAAAGTTATCTCCCAACACATTTTTAAAGTATCAGCAAAGGATATGCTATTTGATAGGAATTCTGGAAAGAAGCACTTGGGCCTTGGTGCAACTTGTTGCATTTCTGATAAATGCAATGCCTTCATGTTCTAAAACTTTCTCTTGCTGTTAAAAAACTATAAGTAACTTTATTTATTAATCATGACTAACTGAAAAAAATGTTATTTCTGTAGCACTGCATAAGTAATAGTTTCAGTGAGCTTTTAACAGAAGAAATACCTAAACTTTGTGGTACTAAATAACTGCAGAAAATTATATGCTTTTAGGAAAATGAGTCTGTACTTTAAAAATGGTTTTAAATACAAAGAGCACATACAGCAATGGGCAATATATTGAAAATGACTGAGCTTGAAATAGTTCAGTTAAAAAAGACAGAACAAATAATTTTGTTCTTTTTCCCAAAGCACTTTTGAATCTGTTTGCTGACAAAAAATAAATAACACATTTTCAGCAGGCAGAAGTAGTATCTTCAGATGTGTATATGCAGGTATGATTGTGTTTGGTAAAATTTAAAAGATGTATCCTGTGTCATAACATAACTAATACATAATGCAAAATGTAATTCTAGCAATTACATTTTATAGCATTTGGCAGAAATACAGAGAAATGTTCATGCATCACTTCTGCTTCTTTCCTCTCTTTTTTTCTTTCTTGTGCTTTTTTCTTCCTTTTCTTTTTTCCAATTTTTATTTCTGTATTTGTAAAAAAAATCTGTATAATAGACCAGTGCAAATATTAGGAAGTTTTTTAAGATATATCATTCAATAATGGAGTTTTTGTAAGCTGGTTAACCAGCCACAAATATGGAATTAGATAGTATATAAATCTTCAATGAACAAATAGATAAAACAAGTTGGGTGAGTTATTTCTAAGGCTTCAATTTAAGATTACTGTAGTTTAGTGATGCTTGAATTTTACTGGATTTCATAGAAGTATTGGTGTGCTATATTTTGTTAAAGGGAAATCCTCAAAAACATTTCAAAATTGCATGTATCTATGGGCAGGCTGAATGGTACTTTAGCAGCTATATCTCCTTTTTCCCTCCTTGTTTGGCCGAATTTATACAGCCCTCTCATCTCAACTTTTTGATTCTAGGTTGCTCACAATACAAAACACATAAAAAACACAGACCATCCTACTTGTGTTACTGTAGAATAAGTGTAGGCACACCAGACTGATCTATCTGCAATTTATAGACACAGATAATTTTTTTCAACAATGATTGTTGAGATCAAGATTGGGAAATTGCAGCGGGTAAGGGATTAAATATCTATGGAGATTCCCAATAATCCAGATCATAGTTATCCCAAAGATGCTTTTCAAAGGCAACTGGACAGTGGTGAAATCCAATTTTTTTTACTACCAGTTCCCTGGGTGTGGCATGGTGTGGTGTGGTGTGGCTTGGTGGGCGTGGCAGGGGAAGGATACTGCAAAATCTCCATTCCCACCCCACTCTAGGGGAAGGATACTGCAAAATCTCTATTCCCACCCCACTCCAGGGGAAGGATACTGCAAAATCCCCATTCCCTCCCCACTCCTGGGGGAAGGATGTTGCAAAATCTCCATTCCCACCCCACTCCAGGGGAATGATACTGCAAAATCCCCATTCCCTCCCTGACTCCTGCGGGAAGGATATTGCAAAATCTCCATTCCCATCCCACTCTGGGACCAGCCAGAGGTGGCATTTGCCAGTTCTCCGAACTACTCAAAATTTCCGCTAGCTGTTCTCCGAACTACTCAAAATTTCCGCTACCGGTTCTCCAGAACCTGTCAGAACCTGCTGGATTTCACCCCTGCAACTGGACTTTCTTGGTTTTTTTCCCCTTGAAAATGTTTTGCTTCGCTTCTCATCAAGGAAGCTTCTTCAGAACTAAAGAAACATTTTCAAGGAAAAACCCAAGAAAGTCCAGTTGCTTTTTGAAAAGCACCTTTGGGGTAAGGGATTAAAGTTCCTTCCATTTCCCATGTTAAGACTAGGGATAGAATCTTCAGTGCTGATTTGAATATGTATATGGAGGCCTATTGCCATAATTGCCTTGTTGGAAGAAATGTCCATCTGGATTCAGTTCCAAGTGGGAAGAAAGACACTGGAAACATGGAGACTGCTTGGAAAGATGGTTTAATGACAGGACCACATGGTTTGAGGTCCTGGGCAAAAAGAGCACATGGGTGAGAGAGGGAGAGAGATTTATACCCTCTGTTGGGCTTTGCACTTGCTTCCTGTTCTTGTGGCAAGAAATGTATCCTGATTGGTTGTCAGACTCCCATGCTTGGTTGAATCTTGCTGAGTGATGTAATCTTCCCAGGTGCCATTTGGTGAGATGAGTAGAGGACTAATCTTATTATGTCCTGAGGGTGAAGATTTTTTGTGTTGTAGATAAGATGGCCCAGCCTATTGTCTTGTAAATAACCAAAGTATCTGCTGGGGGCTGGGAGCAGGGGGCTAGGGCTGAGTTTCTGTCTTAAGATTTCTATTTTTCTTTTAGGGGAAATATTCTGCTTCTTTAATATTTCCTAGAATATTTCATTTTTCTAGGAGAGGGGTGGGTGTTAACTTCCTACAGCCTGCTAAATTTTTATAATAATATATAGTTTGGCTTCCATCAACTCTCTAAAGTCCTTTGTATGAGAACAAACCTGAGCATTGGGAGCAGATCTGATGCAAATGGAGCTTTCAAACTCTTTGAGAGCCTAATGGTTGCTTAATTGTATATTGTCTCTTAAAATCAATGTAGCTTTCTTCATCGTCTCCATCTTTTGGTTTAAATCAGGCATGTCCAGCCCGCGGGCCGCATGTGTCTTTGGACAGCTAGTACTGTAATGAGGCCTCCCAAGATTGTAAACTTTTAACGTTATGTGATTTATATATGTTAACTATACTATATATTTTATGTGAGGCCCAAGACAATTCCCCTTCGCTCAGTGTGGCCCAGGCAAGCCAAAAGGTTGGATACCCATGGCCTAAATGAAATCTTGCTTTGGCTTCATGGCTTTAATTTAGGATTTTTGATGGTAGGATAAATTGCATCTCCCTCAAAGGCACTGTATAAAAACAAGTTGTTTAAAATATAGGCAGTCCTTGACTTATGACCACAATTTTTGTTGTTAAGTGAGACATTTGTTAAGTGAGTTTTGCCCCATTTTACGACCTTTGTTGTCTCAGTTGTTACGTGAACTGGCTTCCTCATTGACTTTGGTTGTTAGAAGGTTACAAAAGGGGATCACATAACCTTGGGACACAGCAACAATCATAAATATGAGCCAGTTGCCAAGCATCTGAATTTTGATCACATGATCATAGGGATGCTTCAAAGGTCATAAAATGGTGTGAAAAATGATTATAAATCATTTATTTTTCAGTGCCATTATAACTTTGAACGATTACTAAATGAACTGTTGTAAATCGAGGACTACCTGTAGATTAGATCTGTTTAAAAATCTAAACAATTTTTCCCTGCTCTTCCTTTTTCAGACAAATCTCTCTGAATGCCCTGTAGCCTCAAGTAATATGGTCTAGGTTAGGAATATTCTGTCTATTGTTTGGCATTGTTGTCTACCAAAGACTTAATTATCATTTCAGGCTTAACATGTGTGTGCCAATTGTGTGAAAAAACAAACTTCACTTGTGAAACGGAGGGAGCATGTTGGACTTCTGTCATGCTAGCGAATGGTCGGCAAGAAGTAATAAAGGCATGTGTTTCCCTATCGCAGCTGAAGGCACAGATCTTCTGCCATGGTTCTAAGAACGTAACCAGGACAGAATGCTGCTTCACAGATTTCTGCAACAATGGAACCATTTACCTGCCCACAGGTAAGTCCTTCTTGTTGGTACAAGAAAATCTACAGTGAAGACAAGTCTTGTCACATCTATTTGGACCTAAACCCAAAATAATGCAGTATGATTTATTTCTGAATAAAGAGTTGGGTTGCATGTTAAAGCTAAAACAAGTTTGTTTTTGTTTTTGTTTTTGTTTATTAATGAAATGATATTATCATTTCATTAAAATTATATTTTTAAACTATGAGAAATGCTATGCTTTTACTACAGATATTTCTTAAAAATATTTGAAACAAGATTCTGATTTTTTGTTCACTCTTGTATAGACATAGCTGGCTTGAGTTTTGAATTGAGATGGCACACCTATAGTAATGATAAATCAATCAATCAATGTTCATAAGTTACACAGATGTAATATATTTTATATCCCACTTGTCAAGATAAATCTTGTAAATCAGTCTAACAGTATGAACATCATACCATTCCCATTCCCCATGTTTGGTATAAAGGTTTATTATTATACTTACAACTTCGACTTAGAACCATTTGTTTAGTGACTGTTCGAAGTTGCAACAGCACTGAAAAAAGTGACTTATGATCATTTTTCACACTTGCGACCATTGCAGAACTCCCGTGGTCAGGTGATCAAAATTTGGATACTTTGCAACCAGCATATAGTTATGTCAGTTGCAGTGTCCCAGGGTCATATGATCATCTTTTGCAACCTTCTGATAAGCAAAGGCAATGGAGAAGCCAGTAATTGTGTTATTAACTTAACCAACTGCAATGATTCACTTAACAAGTATGGCAAGAAAAATCATAAAACGGGGCAAAATTCTCTTAACAATTGTTTTACTTAGCAATGGAAATTTTAGACTCAGTTGTGGTTGTAAGTCAGGACTACTGAAATTTAGTTCAAGTTTTCATTTAATGAATTTCTGTATAGTTCAAATTTCAGTTCAATGAGAAGATTTAAATAAGAGGAGGAACAGAAGCCTACGACTTGAATCTGCAATCAGATCTGCAGTGTGCCAGTCATAGTCTGTCCCACTTACTCCTGCCCTATAAACTTTGTTCTGAGTTTGAGGAGTCAGTTGTAAGACTTGTTTTGGTCACATGTGAGCTCTGTATAGACATGGTCTTAAGGACCAGGAAACCATAGGCATGTATTCCATCCAATTCCTAATTCTGAAGTATAAATACCATATTTTTAGGAATATAAGACGCACCGGAATATAAGACGCACCTTAGTTTTTGGGGAGGAAAATAAGAAAAAAGCTGATTGGCAGGTGGATCAGCCTCCTGGAATGCCCCCCAGTCAGCTGTTCCCAGAGGTGAATTTTAGCAACAGGTTCCTTAGTTGTGAGCTCTATATCTTGCTTTTTTTGTTTTTTTTGTCTGCCTCTGAAACTTCTGAAACTCTGTTTCAGAAAAAACTTTTTTCCTGCCTCTGCAAGTCTCTGAAACAGAGCTTCAGAAAAAAAGCCTCTGAAGTTCTGTTTGGGGGCTTCTTTTCTGAAGCTCTGTTTGGGGGCTTCTTTTCTGAAGCTTTGTTTCTGATGCTTTTTTCAGCCTCTGAAACCTCCATTTGAGAAGCTGGGTGGGACTACATTTGGAGTATAAGACACACCCAGATTTTCACCCTCTTTTTTGGGGGAAAAAAGGTGCATCTTATACTCCGAAAAATACAGTAGTAAATGCTATGGTAATTGTCAGGGTTCCAAGTAACAGACCCAATTCAATCAAAACTCTGAGGCCTGGGGTTTCCTCAAAACACAAATTTATTAGGCATGTCATATTGGTACAGCTGGTGAAAATCCAACTCTGAAAAACCCGAGGTTTTCCCCACCCAAATCAAACTCCCAAATTTTGTTCCCCCAGTCCCCACATCTGTTACATGGTCCAATCAAGTCACTGTCCCAACTCCAGTTGGTTTCAGTCCACGCCTTCCCAACACCTGGTGGGAATGACCTTGGTTCACAGGAGAAAGAATTTTATTTTGACTACAAGTCCCCAGCTATCTCTATGCCCCCCTCCCTTTCCCACAGCTTCAACCGGCCTCACTGTGACAGCCCTGAAGATGCTCCAATATGGCTTCAGGGCTGACACAGTGTCTGTAGCAATAGCAATAGCACTTAGACTTATATATATACAAAAGTATGAAGGCTATTGCTTAACGCATTGTAAGCCACCTTGAGTCTCCGGAGAAGGGCGGCATATAAATTGAACCAATAAATAAATAAATAAATAAATAAATAAATAAATAAATAAATAAATAAATAAATAAATAAATAAATAAATAAATAAATAAATAAATAAATAAATAAATAAATAAATAAATAAATAAAGCCTTCTCTAAGCGGTTTACAGAGTCAGCATATTGCCCCCAACAATCTGGGTCCTCATTTTACTGACCTCGGAAGGATGGAAGGCTGAGTCAACCTTGAGCCTGGTGAGATTTGAACTGCCAAATTGCAGGCAGCTGGCAGGCAGCAGAAGTATCCTGCAGTACTCCATTCTAACCATTCCGCCATCTCGGCTCTTGCTTGTAATTACTTTGATTCTGATTCAGAACAAATGTTTGCCCTCTGAAAAATTATGTAATCATGTTTCAATATTGTCAAGGTGAATTGTTAGAATTGTAAACCATGTGTTTATATGATGTGAGAACATTATACTTTTTTATTATCTTTCTACACATAACTACTACAATAGTAAGATCTTAAGGACAAAAATAGGTGCACAAGATTCATCTGTGTATTTTTACTTAGGGCTAAATTCTCTTACACTAAGTGGAACTTATTCTAATGAGCATATACATTGGAGTGCAGCCAAAACCTTATCAAACAAGTAAGCACCTACACTGTCCTGTTAGAGGGATTTTTGTTCAAGTTTCCAAAAGCTTTGTAAGGGCAGCTTTGAGGCACTGTTGTACAATAGGAGGTCTGATAAAACATTTCCTTATCCATTTCGTATTGCTTAAACATCTCCTGAGGTTTTATTTTCATACTGTATTTATTTTGTGGTTAATGTTTAATAATTTTTGACTTCTTGCTTCAGTATTAAATGTTGCTTGACGACAATAGTTTTTAAAATGTTTATTTTGGTAGCTCAAGAACCTATTTCTCAAATTCAGTCTAACATCAATCTTTAAACACCAGAATGAAGCATGATATACAAGCCTATAATAATTAGAGGTTTATTTAGGTTACAGGGAGAAGCTGTTTCTTAAAGGAAGTTAATGAATTGAATTTTTTTCCTGCTGTACAGCTATTAACTAATACTGTTTAATCAGGGAGCATTAATGTTGTGCCACACTTCCATAAATTGCCTAAATATGTATGTGACTTCATTCATATTTGCATAGGAAAAATAGGAATATTGAAATAAACATTTCCTGCCAATCTTTATATTTTGCCAGTGAAAAGATGTATACAGAACCACTAAGTGAAATTTTTACCTAGCTTAAATACTGAAACATTCTTTTCTCTTTGCTCAGTGGCAATTGAGATCAAGTCTTGTAAAGGAAGACTTGTTCACTCACCTGAACATTATTTGCTTGACTATTTTATAGTTTTAATATAGCCTACTGTTTTGAATCCAAAACTGTAAGCATTATTTTAGGGACATGACAACTATTGGAATTAAATTGAGTTAATCTCCCCAGTTAGTTAACCTATATCTCTTGCATGTTGAACATTGGGTTTCAAAGATGATAAATAGCCTTGACATTGGATAACAAAAATAAAGATACGTTGGGAGAAAATGGTCACCTACCAAGATATTCTGGATAATAGTGGTAACCTTATACCTAATGAGATACTAAAAGAGCAAGGGATCCACATAGATTGGTGGCCCTATTTACAAATTAAATCCCGCTTTAGTAAGGATAAACAAGAATAGAGATGGGGACAAACAGTTTGGACAAGGTATGGCTAGGTAGTGAGAACAAACTATTAGCTAAATTATACTCCTACCTTCTCGAATATGACAGAGAAGGAGAAATATTAAAAGACCAAATGATTGCTTGGGGGAAAAACATCGAATCAAAGATAAATCTTGATGATTGGGAAGAAATATGGAATAGCAATCTTAAACTGACGAGAGCAATAAGCTATAAGGAGAATCAGTATAAGATGCTATATAGATGGTACTTAGCACCATCTAGAATTGCTAAGATCTACCCAAATGCAAGCCCCAAATGTTGGAAATGTGGTCACCACCAAGGTACCTTCTATCACATGTGGTGGACGTGTCCGGAAGCGAGGAAGTTTTGGAAAAAAATACAAAAATGGATCCAAGAAATATTAAAGGAGGACATTAACTTCCTCCTGGAAATTTATCTCCTGGGTGTGCTAAAACGAACATTTGGAAAGGACAAGAAATATCTGATTATTCATATTGTCACAGCTGCTAGACTCTCCTATGCCAGATATTGGAAAGAGAAAAAAGGACCAACCGAGGAACAGATAGTCAATAAGATACTTGACTGCGCAGAAATGTGCAGATTAACGTATGTGTTAAACGGAAAGGAGGATTCAGAATTCTATGCGATCTGGGATCTGTGGTATAGGTGGTTAGAAATTAAATGCAAAAGTTAATACTCATGTGGAATAATGCACAATGATTAGATAACCTTGTGTATTATTGTACTCTAATTAAACAGTAATCAATTTTATTCACAAGAACTTTTGTACAAACTGTATAAACGATTAGATAATTGACTAGATACCGCACTTGTAAATATACAATATGACTACACGTTGCCAAACCGTTTAGTTTGAATTGTAATATGTTCTTAAATCAATAAAATTGCATTAAAAAAAAAAAAGAAGATACGTCGTAAATGCTATGGCCAGTGACTTTAATTTTGATTCAGAACAAGTATTCGTAGTGATTGTTCAAAGTTACGACAGACTCCTAAAAAGCTACTTATGGCCCAATTTCAAAGTTATGACAGCTGCAGTACCCCTGCAGTCATTCGCCCATATGCCCAACCACAGGAATGCTGCAGTGTTGACCCACCCACTCAT